GCTCTACGCCAATTGAGCAAAGGCTTATAACCGGTGACTGTTGTTTCCCGTGTTGTGTCGAAACTGTTAAGCATCGCTGGAGTGACCTCTCCAGGGCACACACCAGGGCGTTTTGATTTGGAGTACAGACTGTTGCCCAGGCAGCAAGTACCCCCTCTCTAGGTCGCCGGTGATACCAAGGGAAAGGCAAAAACCAGTACAACTTGGGACTGGTTACATACCATTAAAGACTATATCCATCTACTAGTTATATACCATTAAAGACTATATCCATCTACTAGTTATATACCATTAAAGACTACATCCATCTACATCAGCGTTTCTCAGCTTGCCGGTCGCAACCCTTTTTTCCCGGGTCGAACCCTTTCGCATAGGTAGCCCAATCATCATCAGTTCTCGTTATGCCTAGTGGCACAGGAGGCTTCAGAGTTGACTTTCCATGCTGTCCTGTCCTGTGCAATCTTCAGTGCAGTTTTCCATGTCAGAAATGCCGCACTAAGTTCACTTTCCATCGTTCGTCTCCATGTTGGTTTTGGGCGCCTTTTTTTTTTCTTTCCCTGTGATATCCATGTTAGAGCTGTTTTGGCAGGTATACAGGATTCATTCTCATAACGTGGCCAAACCATTCCCATCTTTTCTTGGTTATCATACTGTCTGTAGTTTCTTGGTTTGTGACTTGAAGTAGTTTAGGGTTTGAGATTGTATCTGGCCAAAAAATTTTGATAATTCTACCTAGATATGTATGGTAGTGGAAGGTAGACAGCTTGTGTGCATCCTTTTTGGTAGGTCGCCTAAGACCATCGGAAAACCCATATTCTTTGAAGTAATGAAGGAAAACAATTGTTCATGGGTGTGACAATACGCTCGGTGACTTCAGAAGGTCTTTCCTTAACCTACTTTTATTCCTTTGTGTTTCGAAGTATACAGAGATAAATGGATTTGGGTACATCCTTAATCTAAGTAGACGACCACATCACACCTTTAATTCTCCTGGACCGTTGGTCATATCAAACACTAAAACTTTTTCCCAGATGTTAAGTGTTAAGGTACAGAGATAAGACTGACCAAGCAGACTTACTGACTGGAGATTTGCACACCATTTGTTGGTGTCAGATAGTTATTCCCCCTGCCAGATCTTCAGGAACAGATAACAAGGGCTAATTGCCATTATCTCCCCCTGAGGTTACCTAAACTGGAGTGCCGGTCAGATCGTCACTATTGACACAGTGAGCGGAAAGTGTTGGCAGAAGAATTGACAAAAACGGATTTTATTGTGATGACAGGTGAAGTAGACTGGAGGTGTGACTAGGCCTATTAGCTGGGACCAGCTTAATTGAACCAGGAGACCCTAGCGTGGGAATTCAAACAATAGTTGTACAGCCCTGACTGACAGCGAATAAACTTACCCACAAGGGAGGAGCTGTGATATCCGTGAATGAGAATGATTTTAGGCGTAATGTAGGAGGAGCTTGATAAAAGTTATAAAGGGGTGAACTATAGGTCTGGTAAATGAGATCCTGTCGAGCACATGCCATCTGTTGGGCTTAACCTAAGCTTGTGACAGAACTTTTGGCATTGTGGTTTCATTTTTCAAGGTAAGATCGAAATTAGTTTCAAAACCTTTATTTTATTTATGATAGAGATCTAACTGTCTTTTTGCTCAAGTGTGTGTCTTCATCACTTTGTAATACTCCTAGGCGGACATTTCTTCATTCTCGTAGGGCACTGTCACATTGCTTTCTTTCCTATTTGATAGTGTCATGAATGTTTTTCGTGTACATGTGTTTCAATGTTGTAAAACCTAAATGTTGTTGTTGCCATTGAAATTTAATGAACTATCATGTTTTTGAAATCACAAGCGTGAAGATAACTTTGGCAATCTTTTCACGTGTGGTTAATGTGAATCTGTATTACACACAGCTAACACACTGAAATGTGTTTAACTCTCGGGAGGCTAATGCGGAGATTGATCCCGGAGAGTAAATCCACGAGATTTGTTATTTGATTCGCCCCAGAAATATTGTTAGCTTTCTGGGCGCGTCGATTGTTCCAAGCATAGATTCCAGAACTGGTTCTGTCTGACTGATTGTCATTTTGAGTCTGTACTAGAGCTGGCACCTGACGTAGAAGACTTGACTATCATTACAGGACGTGTAGAGGAAGGCAGAAGATGTAACAGTTGGAATGTGAGACATAAGCCCTTCCAAATTGGACAGGAGTGAATGTGAGCATGAGGGAGAGATGAAATGTTTTATTTAAATAAACATGCTTGATGTTAGTATAATATACATGCTTAGTGTACATCTAGAGCAGATACTACAAATATGCGCTTGTTTCTTCATTCTCCAGTTCCCACATTGGGCAGGGACTAGTAGGCATCCATTATTTGCCGACCGTCGAGTGTAACGACCTGCAGAAATCAGTGAGGACGACAAACTGGAAAAGATAGACAGGGTCTCAAGCCGAGAACTGTCCTGACGGTGAATTCTCCTACTAGGAGTTAAGTATATGTACAAACTGTCATCAATCACACTCCCTCAACTCTACTAGCCTAAACAAGTTCATTTTATTTTTAGTCAGATTTATTAAATAAATCTTTTTGATGTTTAAACATAGTTGAGTAAATTGTGTACTTAGGTTCAAGTGTCTTTGTGCATATTAGTTTACTTCAGCTAACAAATATTTAAATCACTTGATGGGGGCTTTTTAGCAATGCCAGGAGAGGAGACCAGTCGCAGGGGTTAACTGAGCACCTGGATTATATCACAGTGGGTTTATCCAGATATCTATCTATCCCTTCTCCTACTCCTGTGGATACAAGTACAGCAACTTTCATTTCATGGAACGAGCCACTCGCTGTTTTCTTGGCTATCCAGGACTGTCTAGGATCAACATAGCTTAGTTAATAGCCCAGTTTCTCACGTGGGTGGGCATTGTTAAGGTTCAGACCCACACCCTCACTATATCAGTGTATTTACCCACGTGGGCGCGCGACAATGGGTCGCCACAACATGAGGGGACTGTACTGAAGGATCGCTCTAACATGAGGCAACTGTACTGAAGGGTCAGAGCATTAGGAAGATTGAGTGCCACTGATCTAAGCGGGACGACAATAGCCTGTTCTACTCGCAGATTTTTTTCCCCTAGGATGTTTAACGGCAAAAGTGAGTTGATAATGTGATAACTTAAACTTTAGACTAATAAAACTTTAAATAATGCGGATACAAACAATACATTGCACAATTTTTTTTGGCAGGCATGTTTCGCTGTATCTCATCAGGTGCGTTACTACAGAGTTACATCAACATAAAATAAAGCACAAAACTGAATAAATTTAACTGAAATGCGAATAGTTTCTTTGATACACTGTCTCTGTTTCATAGCGGCCGGAAGCTCACCGTAGTCAATTGACTTACCAGGGTAACTTCAATTTACGATAAATTCCGTCTGCTTACAAAGGTTGTTGAATTTTATTGTTAAAGCTTCGGCGATTCTCAAAAGTCTCCTATTCGGAGTGTGGTAAACCACAGGAAAGCAGTGTCAATTATGTGTTTGAAACTTAGTAGATAACGTCCTATGGAAGAAGCGGGTTCTTTCCTCTTGACTGGTCTCGACACCCTGGAAGAATCACTGAGCTCTAATACTAAAACTTTGCCGACTACTGAAATGCAACATAGAAGAATTCCTAACTAAAAAACGCCAACCTGGAATTAATTTACACGCCACAGCTTTCATTGCAACATACAGGCACTTAACCGGTTAATTACTTAATCAAACGCCAAATTTAATCAAAGAAACTATTCCTGCGAAGTTGCCATAATCAAAGAGTAACCTGCCGAAAAAGTGTGCCTTAAATGATGTAGAAATGTGAAAACTGATCATAAAGGGAAATAACAGATTAATTGCCGGTCTGACAGACTGTTTTTTATTAACTTGTGATTCTCATGGAAATATGTGATTTTAAAGCAAATTTACAAACGGTCTCATATTTTTTTTATGAATTACTATAGATGTTGGTGTACTGACACCCCTCCTTTTGTCATGGCATGGGAATGTGTCAACACACGAACAGATACACGCAGTTGCGAATTGCAAATTGTGGAGAGGCATGATCGCCTATGCCAGTCGGCAAGGCACTTAATGATGATGATAATTATCACGGATGTTACCATTCTGTGTTCCGGGGCCCATTGTGGGGAAAACAAGGATAAAACCACTGCCTCTCTAACAAGCATGTCGTAAGAGTCGACTAATAGTTTCCTCCGAAATGGGAGTACATTTGCCTACGAGGCAAGGAACCTACAGTCTCCATACAAAGAAGCCAAATCTGTAAAACGGATGTGCACGCAACACTCAAGGTTTGGAGCAAAACTAAAGTCCATAAGTGGACGAACAACCAGAACTTCGCGCCGTAGTTTACAGCCCCTGAACTCAAAGAAGAAGAAAATCTTCATGTGCGTTCCTTTGCCTCCTTTTAGGATAAACAAGAATAAACTCACTGCTTCCCCAACAAGCATGTCGTAGGAGTCGACTAAATAGGGGACTTACTTCGAGAGGCATGGAATCACAAGTCTGCATACAAAAAAACTAGATCTGTGAAACGGATGTGCATGCAGCAGTCAGGTTCTAAAGTCCAGAGATTGACGAACCCTTAAAGCTTTCCGCTGGAGTTTACAGCCAGTGTACGCAAAGAAGAAGAAAGAAAAAGAAGAAACATTCGATTTTATTTCGTATTCTAATTACACGAGAAGACATATTCTTCTTCTTATAGTACACCATCTTCTTCTTATAGTACACCATCTTCTTCTTATAGTACACCATCTTCTTCTTATAGTACACCATCTTCTTTTTATAGTACACCATCTTCTTCTTATAGTACACCATCTTCTTCTTATAGTACACCATCTTCTTCTTATAGTACACCATCTTCTTCTTATAGTACACCATCTTCTTCTTATAGTACACATCTTCTTCTTATAGTACACCATCTTCTTCTATAGTACACCATCTTCTTCTTATAGTACACCATCTTCTTCTTATAGTACACCATCTTCTTCTTATAGTACACCATCTTCTTCTTATAGTACACCATCTTCTTCTTATAGTACACCATCTTCTTCTTATAGTACACCATCTTCTTCTTATAGTACACCATCTTCTTCTTATAGTACACCATCTTCTTCTTATAGTACACCATCTTCTTCTTATAGTACACCATCTTCTTCTTATAGTACACCATCTTCTTCTTATAGTACACCATCTTCTTCTTCGAGTTCACTGGCTATATAAATTATCTACGTACCAACAGGGGACGCAATCTTGAGTTATATCATAGTTTTGTGTGCTCATCCATTGCGGATCTGGCATGTTTGTTTGCAAGTTATAAAGTTTATCGTCCCGGACAGATGCAGCCCGGTTTCGAAGAACGACGTCGATCTGATGGACGTGGGCCAGCAAAACCCCTGCTTCTAGGATTATGACTGACAAGTGTAGGTATGTTTAGACCGGCCAATGTATCGATCGGCACCCATATTAGAGTTTATTCATGTTATGACCAGCATGAGCACTAGTCTCGGCGCACACCTCAACACGTGTAGTTTAACACCTCTTCTTCTTCTTCTTCTTCTTCTTCTTCTTCTTCTTCTTCTTCTTCTTCTTCTTCTTCTTCTTCTTCTCATAGTCTATACTGTGTGGCAATTGTAGCCATGTCTATACACAGCCTTGTCTCCGTACTGGTGCCATCGGAAATGAAACTCTTCGCTTGCTGCTGAAAATGGGGACGGAGTGCTTAAGGGAGGGTCCCGAATGCTGTGATATCGATTCCTAATTCAACATTCAATCGTCTCGTTCTGATGTGTGTAATCAGTTCTCTTTGCGAGTCAGTTTTTATGTCAAGAAATCTTGATTACTTTTTTTTTAATCTGTCTATTGTACTGTCATTATTCGTCTATAAAACCAGCTTTCCACCGCTCCCAAATAATGTTTCAGTCATCGTATAACTGTCCATGATTTACCTCTATATCATGATAGGATTCATAAAACTCTTTTTCCCTGTGTGGGTTTCTGGGCCCCATTGTGGGGAAAACAAGAATAGACCCACTGCCACCCCAACAAGTATGTCGTAAGAGTCGACTAATTGGGAGCTTCCTTCGAAGTCGGTGTATGTCTGCCCACAATGCAGGGAACAACCAAATGCACACAGATAAGCTTGTTAAACGATGTACACGTAAAACGCAGGCCCTGGGACCAAGCTGGTGTCCACATGGACGAGCAACCAGGACTTTCCCCCATAATACATCCCTACCACTCACGGTTAGAGAACAACAATTCTTGCGACTTATATAAAGCCAGTTTTCACATATGAGTGTGAATCATGGAAAATGAATCAACAAGCCAAACAATTTCGCGAGGCCTTGGAAATGTGATGGTGCAGAATATTCCTCAGAATTCCCTGGACAGCCAACATTTGAAAGCCGCTGGGCTCAAAGACACGACAGAAGGAACCAGTCACACGAGACGAGACAGAGGGAGACAACGTGAGAAAATTCTTAACATACTTTTGTCGTGGGAGTAGAGATGTGTGCGCTTACGGAATGAAATACCTTGTTAAAGATCGCAGATTGTGGAGAGGCGTGGTCGCCCACGCCAATCGCCAGTCTTCCTACCTTCATATCGTTTCTCTGTCGTCAGTGAGAACCCATTAGTGCGTATGCATTGATTTGCGACTCAGTTTCAAAGTAGACAAGTTACGTAAGCACACCAGACCTTCAAAGTATAGTCCCTGTTGATGTTTCGAGTCTGTTTTCTCATTCAGTGTGAGGTCTTAGCGAGACTTAGCATCGCCACCAGGAGGAATAACATCAGTGAAGGTTTCCTGGGATTTCTGGGGAAGAATGGGGAAAAACATTAGTTAATTATACAAGCTCTGTATCTGATGTATTGTAACCGTATAGCAATATTTCTGTGTAAATGCAATAAACTAAATGTTAACTCCGTTTGTAGGCGTCTAAGGCTTAGTCGTTGTGAACGCGCTTCGTAATGCTGAGGTGCCAGACAAGATCCCAGGTGCGGATCTTGCGCCTTTCGCTGGCTTCGATGGTAGGATCGAGAAGCCGACTGTTTAGTAAACAATTACAAACTAATGGACGTAAATTTGCCTAAAAAAACCACAACAGCCAAAAAATGCAGAGGCTGGTTCTGCAACATCCTGTAAAGGATACACAACTAACTTTTTAAACTCAGTTAAAAAAATGTATATTTGTATTCTTCATACAGAATGCCACATTGATATAGCAACTAGATGTTCGTTTGCGGATCCAAGTCCCTTGGTTCCGATTTTGAGAGAGCCGGACTTTCTTTTCTTTTCGCAAATGACCTTGTCTCTCAGGTCATCTAGCTTTAAATGGGTACCAGATAAAGTCCTTGTAAGTAAAGGCGGCCGAGTACATCAGCCAGGGAATGCCGATTGGTCTACAACGTATATGTCCAGCCTTAAATGCGAAATACACCTGAAGTTTTGAAAATGAGTCCTGTACCCTTATGTTCGCGGGAGTCGCCGTGGCGTAGCGCCTAGACACTTGCCGCGGATCGGAAGGTCGTGGGTTCGCTCTCTGGCGGAGCCAGACTTTAAAAAAAAAATGACCTTGGCTCCCAGGTCGACCCAGCCTTGAGTGGGTACCGGGTGCAGTCCCGGAAGGTAAAGGCGGACGTCGTGATGCTGACCCCATCAAGTGCCGATTAGTGTATAAAAAATAGGTATAGCCCTATATGCCCTATCCGCCTAAAGGCGTGGAAAAGGGTCCTTTACTTTACTTTACCCTTTATTTCTTTCCACAAATCGATCGATCGGTTTGTTCCCCCGGACGAAGATTTAGTGCCCTGAAATCGGAGAGAAAAAACACACACCTGAATCCGGATGGCACAACAACAAGGCAAATTCCAGGTACCCCGTTCTAAAAAAAAAAAAAAAACACAGTTATAACTAGGGCATCTTGTAACGGCTGCACTAACGAGATGTAACGTGCATTTCTGTGCCGGCAAGGAAAGATAATTCTCAAACTAAGAATGAAAGTAAAAGTAAAGGGTCCTTGTCAACGCCTTCTGGCGTACTGGGTTATAGGGCTAGGCCTATATTTTATAGATCAAACGGAACTTGGTGGATGATGTGGTCAGCATCATGCCGGTCGCCTTTACTTCACAGGACTGCACCTGGTACCCAATCAAGGCTGAGTCGACCTGGGAGCCAAAGTCATTTTTGCAAAAAAGTCTGAACCCCGTCAGAACCCGAACCTACAACATGCCAATCAGCAGGCGAGTGTCTAGCTGCTGGACCACGGTGGCTCCCCCTACACCCAGAATATCAATGTAATTTTACTGTCGGCGCTTCTGCAAATGGAAGCGCGCCATAACTGGGTCAAACAGGTCATGCATAAAATACACCTGTTTCTGCTGGCGCTGTCATCTAGAAGAGATACATGTCAGTTTGTTCTGTATGCTCAGCCCTGCTATCTTGTCAGGTAATCGCATTCCATGTTTCATAGGAAACAGATCGCCCTCTATTTGCTCCGTGTTAGTGCCAACAAAACCAACACAGAATGACCACCACTGTCTCTTGTGGAAAAACAAACACAGAATTCAGTCTCTCTCACATGCACACGCATTAAATGCATAATGCAGCCGCCATAAGTACCAACACAAACAGCGCGACACTAGAAATGCTTCATGGCAAGAAGAAAGAAGCAGTGGAAGTGAGGAAAATTTGCACACGCAATTAATCGCATAAGACAAAACCATTTCTCCGGCAACAGCCCACTCGTCGACTAATCATTTTGTGAATCTGAAGCTCACAACAAAATCCACGTTGGGCAAATCATTCCAAGTGTAACTGGGAGCTCTCAGTGTTAATCTGCAGCTCATAGTTTCACCATATGCACTTAGCTCAGTAGGTGGGTGACGGAACTACACCTTTTCAGTCTGCATATGGAGGAAAATGTAAAGGCTAACAATTGTTACACTTGCCATGACTAAAAGCAGTATACTGCCAGTCTTTCATATTGACTGTAAGTCCCCATCTCAGCACTGCTGATCATAGCTCAACATAGCCGCGAGTCCCACATGCTGAGAATCCTTGGTTTCGGAAGAAACAGGTAATTTATCTTAGGAGTGCTATAAAACAGGGAAGGCTGAAATGGAGTTGATTATTTTGACAAGTTGATGGGAGAAAGGATAAGGGGGAAAACTACTACAACATAGAGTTAATTGAGTAAAGTATGATTCAACAACATACAAAGGCAGCCTGGAGATCAGTTCAAGATGAGGGTTGTCGGTAGACATGATCGCCTTAGTCAGTAGGCAATAAGTAAATTATAGCAACTAGGCGAAGGCAGCTCGGTTTTGTTACGTACAAGCAGTTGTATAATTCAAAACAGCCAGTAATGTATGTGATACATAAAGCTGTGAACCTGACGAATTATATTATTATTAGTTTACACAATGCGTAATCCAACGTACCGCGTTCGAAACCCACTGCTAGCTGTCTGGATTTTTATCATGGTATGGGGCGTCGCAGGTCGACCCAGCCTAAAATGGGTACCAGGATGGCTGTCCTGGGAAAGTAAAGACGGCCGGCGTAACGTTGACCACATTACCCATCCAGTGCCGATTGGTCTGTAAAAAATGGGACGCTCTTAATTTTTTTTTTTTTTAACAACAACCAAAGCAGAATTTCCCCTTTGTGAATGTTAACAAAGACGACACAAAAAATAGATTGCACAATTTATTTTCTTGCATATTTCGCTGCATCTCGTCAGGTGCACACTACAGTAGCAATTGATTCAAATAAAGCAAATAAATGAATCCTTCGAACTGAAACAAAAAATCGACTATATAAAAAAAAAAAAAAAACGCCTGTTTCACCGGGGTAAACCCAACGTTAAGAGCATGTTCTTTGTCTGCATAATTCTGGACTGTTCTTAGCTCTAATGTCAAATTGATACAGGTTTATGGAATGGAAACATTTGAAACATGGAGAACAACTAGAACAGTTACTAATAAACAACGGGCATTCATTAACTGATTCCTGTGCGGACTAGGAAGAAATAAAACAGAATCAATAATGTCGAGCTTTGGAAGCGAACTAAAATTCATGTGAATAAAGACTTGGAAAAAAAATATCCTGGCGTTGAATAGGACCCCGTTCATAAGTCTGTTACGGTTTATAAACAGTGTAAACACAATGTCTATGCAGTGGAACCCACAGATGAATAGAAATAAAGACAGGCCAGGAAAAA